AAATAGTGCAGTGGATAAGTGATCTTGCTGCAGTCGGAGAGATCAGTGTTGGAAGCTGAGCTCACTCGTTTTCTTCCCATGTCCAATTTTTCCACCTCAGAATATGAATGTAAGGCACTTCACTGCATCCTAGCACACAAAGAGCAGAGTACCAACTAGACTAAACTTGCCCACAAATGAAGAGTGTTTCTTGCTCAGGTTTGTTCTAATGTCAAGTATATTGTCTGACAAACAGTGATGAAATTAGTAACATTCTCTAAATCATCTCAACTATGTGAATGAATAATAGCTGCACACTTTTCACACTGGATAGACTTCCTTTATGATTTTTATGGGAAAAACTGATGACAATTGAATTTATGAACCTTCTATAATGGGAATTGAGATGCACCACTCACTAAATAAATGTTTTAAAGCTGGAAGGAAGGTGAGGAGTAATTTAGTACCTCTCATTCATTGTACAACAGAGGGAACTGAGGCACAGAAAGACATTATGACTTCTCCAGTGTTTACTATAATTTGCATGCATTCTTAAACTCTCCCCACACTACCCACAATGACTTTGAAATTTTATGCCTTTTGGAGTCAGCGTAATTCTAGGTCTTGTTATAGGTAAATTGGAGTCCTGGGCTTAGAAAATTGGAAGGATGGTGTGGCTATATAGTATGAACATTGGCAAGCTTATGTGCTGTAAATGAAATAAAGCACCATGGAGAAGAAGAAACAAACCGCAGACTGGGAGCATCCTATGAAAAATAGAACATATCTTGCAATCCCCATGTTTCTCACTACTCTCATGAAGACGATGTAGAGCTATACCTGCTTGTGTGCACCAATTTTCTTACAGCCAAACACAGTATTCTTATTTTGAATTAGAAAGCATTTTTCAATCAAACAAGTGTTAATCTATCAAAACAAACAATAGAAAACGAGGCAGAAAATAAACAAAGACACAGAAGAACTTAACACTTTTCAAGTGCTCTAGAACATTCACCAAGATTGGTCATATCCTGGGCTATAAATTATATATTAACAGGTTGAAAAAAATGAGCTTTTATTTAGAGTATGTTATTGAATCAAAATGGAATCAAAATAGAAATCAATAACAGAAAACAAGATAATTCCAAAATTTTGAAAAAAAAAATTGTTTCTAAGTAATCTATGTGTTAAGGGACAAAAATCTTGGGAAATTTTTAAAAATACATTGAAATAAATAAGAATAAAAATACAACAAATCAAAATTTCTGGAATGAAGTTAAAAAATGCTTAGGGGACAGTTTAGAGAACCAACACTTACAAAAGAAAAGAATGTCTCAAATCAAGAATCTAAGTTCCAAATCAAGTAGAAGACCAAGCAAGCAGAAGAAAGAAAATAATAAAAAGAACAAAATTTAATTAAATGGGAACATTAAAACAACAGAAAAATACTGAAACAAAAAGTTGATTCTTTGGAAAGGTCAGTGTAATAAGCTTGTAGAAAAAATGAGAAAAGATGATGCAAAGTACCAAGATTACAGATAAAACAGGAGGTCATAATATGCCCAGCAGCCATTTACACACAAACTTGACCACTTCAAAGAAATTGACCAATTCCTTGTAAAGCACAAACTACTGAAACTTAACCCAATATGAAATTGATCATTTGAATAAACTCATTATTGAAATAAATTTGTAATGGAAAATGCTCCCAGAGAAGGCATTTCCTGGCCCAGAATGTATCATTGGAGCAGTCTATCAAACATTTGAGGAAGTAACACAAACCCTTACATGACACAAAATATGTTCCAAAAAATAGAAGGTGAGGGAGTACTTCCATACATATTTTATGAAGCTGGTATTGCCTGGCACCAAAACCAGTTTAAAAAAATAAAAGAACAAAGAAACCTATAGACCAAAGTCCCTCATAAACAGAAATGCAAAAATTCTTAATCAAGTATTAGCAAGTATTTGCAAACAATAATTCAGCAAAGAATGAAAAGAATTTTTTTAAAACAGTATGACTAAATAACATGACCGAGTTTATTCCAGGTATGTAATACTGGTCATGTACTGGAAAAAAAAAAATCAATCAATACTATCCACCCTGTTAACAGGCCAAAGGAGAAAAAGAAATCACATGATTCTTTCAATTGATACAGTAAAAGCACTTGGCAAATTTCAATACTCATTCATGATTAAATAGATAAATAAGTCAGAAAACTAGTTATTTAGGAAAATTTTTCAATTGGACAAAGAACATATACAAAATACCTCCAGCTGATATCTTATTTAGTGTTGAAATACTTACACTTTGCTCCTAAGATCTAGAAAACAACAAGAATGTCCCCTCACCTCAGTGCTATTTATCATAGTGCTGGAAGTTCTAGCCAGTTAAGTCAGCAAGAAAAGGAAATAAAGCACATACATATGGAGAAACAAGAAATAAACTTCTTATTTGCAGATGACATGATTGTATACATAGAAAACCCTAAGGAAATCTTCAGGAAAAAAAATCCTAAAACTAGCAAAACTCCTAAACTTCAGCAAGTCAGAAGATACAATATCAACACACACAAAAATAATTGCATTCCTGTATACCTGCAATGAACAGAGGAAAAATACAATTTGAAAATACAGTACCACTTACAATCACTCTAAAAAATAAAATACTTTGATATGATCTAATAAAATATTTTAGAACTCATGTTAACCACTGATATAAGAAGTTAAAGATGATGTAAATAAATGGAGACAGATTATGTTCATAGATTAGAAGACTCAACACAGTAAAGCTGTCCAGTTCTTTTCAAATTGACATGCAAAGTTTCAACACAATTCTCACCAAAGTACCAGTAAGATTTTTTGTAGATACAAACAAAGTTATTCTAAGATTTATATGGAAAAGCAAATGTACTATAAGAGTTAAAATAATATTGAAAAGAGGAATAAAGAGAATAAATTACTCTATCCAATTTCAAAACATATTGTACAGCTGCAGTAATCAAAACTGTGGGTACTAGTAGTGTGGCAGACACACAGACAAACAGAACAAAATAGAGAACACAGAAAGAGCTCATACTAATCAAGCCATCTGATTTTTGACAACTGCCTAAAAACAATTCAACAAGGACAGTCTTTTCAACAAATGCTTCTGGAGTAACAGGAGATTCATGGGGCAGAGGGAAGATAATAGATCAAAACCTCATACCTTTATTTTACATAAAAATTAACTTCAGTAATGATTTACAATGTAAAACAGAAAAGGATAAAATTTTACAAGAAAATCCTAGGAACTATAGCTACACGAAGAGTTCTTAGACGTTAGTCTAAAAAGCATACTCCATCAGCAGAAAATCAAGAAATTAGATTCGTCATCAATATTACAATCTTTCCTCTGTGAAGGAAAGATCCTGTTGAGAGTATGAAAAGGCAAACTACAGAGAGGACTAAGGACTCATATCTGGAAGTCTCAATAGAACTCTCAATATTCAAAAGTAAAAAGACAAATAAATAAAACCAAACAATCCAACTTTTAAAAGGGCAAATAACATGAAAAGACATTTCAATCAAGAGGATGTGCTCACAACAAATAAGCACATAAAGAGAGTTCAATTCCACTAATAATTAGGGAAACACAAATTAAACCACAATGGGATATTAACCTATTAAATATCATATCTAATACAGCAGCTAAAATAAAAAATGGTGACAATGCCAACTGCTGGAAAGAACACAGAGACGTTGGATCCCTCAGATATTGCTGGTAAGGATGGAAAAACAGTCCAACCACTTTGGAAAAGAATGTGAGGGTTCCTTGAAAATAGAAGTTGAGAGTAGAATGGGGGTGACCAGAAGCTGGGAAGGTGGGATGGAGGGATAAATGGGGAAAGGACATGTTCTATGGTTTAACTGGTAGGAATAAGAAGTTCTCATGTGCTTTTACATAGCAGAGTGACTATAGATAACAAGTATATACCATTTATTTCAAACATCTAGAACAAAGGATTTTGAATGTTTTTACCATAAAAATATAATATTTAAAGAGATTAAGTTTACCCTGATTTAAATATCACACAAAATACGTGTCAAAACATCATATGGAATCCCATAAGTATGTATTTTTTGCCTCTATATGAATCAAATGTATGATATGTCAAGATCATTGTATTGTCTTGAGCAACCAATAATAAAAAAATAAAGTTTTCAGTGAACAAAATTAAAAAAAAAGAGAATAAATTGAAAAAAAATACAGTAATCATAGCAATTATACTCCTGGGCCTTATCACAAAGAATAAAATCTTATGCCCACACAAAAATCTGCATACATGTGGACCTATCATTTTACTTATAATAGACAAAACCTAGAAACAACCAAAATGTGCCTCAATTGATGAATGGATAAACAAACAATGGTACATCCATGCCACAGAGGACTATTCAATGACTATAATAAATTACTGATACACAAAACTGCTTGAGTGGATCTCAAAATTATTTTGCTGAATGAAGAAAAGTCAGGGGCAGGGAATATAGCTCAGTTGGTAGAGTGCTTTCCTTGCATGCACACAGCCCTGGGTTCAATCCCAGCACCACCAAAAAAAAAAAAGTCCAACTCAAAAGGTCAATGACTCCATATACTTAACATTCACCAGATGACAAAAATATCAGAGTGGAGAACAAAATAGGGGCTTGTGTTAGGAATTTTAGGAAGGAAGGGAGGTGTGACTATAAAGTTACAGCAAGAGGGAATCTTTGTGGTCATGAATTAGTTCTGCATCTTAATTTCAATGGTCATCAGACAAATATATATGTGATAAAATGACAGAGAACCACACATAGACACATCAGATCCATGTTAAACTTCTGGTTTTACTATTATACTATAGTTAGGAATTGTGTGATGAATACAGAAAACCTCTGTGATATCTTTGCAACACTTTGTAAATTGTATAATTATTTAAAAATAAAAACTTTAAAGTTTCATAATAGTGTTTCCTATTGCAATAACAAACAATACTCACTTCCAATATCCGGCCTCAGCTTTTTATCATATTCTCTTAGCAATTTGTTAAGAATAAGAGTTACATCAGTGTCTTGGGATTTTGGAGCCAAGACCCACTTTTGGTTTGATGAAGAATCTTCATATTCATCCTCTTCCACCTTTCTGGACCTGTAATAGTAACACAAAAATGTGACATATAAGTTGCAGAAACAGCAGCAGGAAGTGCCTTAAGTTTATCCTTTACAAGTACCACTGAAATGGGTAGAAAGTTCCCAGTTCCCTTATTCCAACCACTCACATCAACTACAAAATTTAAAAAGTAAAATGAAGTACACATTAGAAAGAATTCAACAGGAAAAATGCAACTGCTACTAATATGGCATAATGTTTTCATTACATGTCACAAGACCATTCCCTGTCCATGTTAAACTACAGCCACTGTGACAGGTAAATTAATGTCAGAATAGTCAATAGGCAATGGGCCATCCTTGAATGCATCTTGAGAAGCTCCCAAGGTCAAGGCACTAACCTTCCAGGATTTGTCAGAGTTCACTTTATCATGTTGTCTCCACTTCCCACCACCAAAATCTCATTCTACTTGAAGGTGAGAATAAATTTTGCAGAAGGGACTCATTAAAAATAGTTGGTTCTGACTATGCTTTTCTTGGAAACTGGAATCTAGGGCTTGAGGTAGGCATGCAGACATTCTGAGGTATCTTGCTTTACCAGCACTCTTGCCAGGGACAACAATCAGAAAAATGGTTGGTGAATATCCTCTGGCAATTTTACATGTTTAAGTAAAACACAAACTGATTCATTTCTTGAACAGCAGGCTACAGAGACATTAGGGATAAAATTTAATACGTCTTCCACATCTTGGGTTCTTAATAAGTGGATCCCAATGAATGCTTGGGTGTCCCTGCTTGTTTTGCAGGGATGAACATGGAGATTCCCTCTCCCAGCTGATAAACACCGACAGAGTAGTTGAATTCAGAGGCCTCAAGATGACAAGCAAGTTTTCTTAGTGAGTGAAGCCATCTCAACCACACAACCATTTGGGCTTGGAAAGCACAGTCTCTTCTGCCCTGAAGCAGCATTTACTTGCAGGTGGACTGTCACTGGCTGGCAGGGAAGCTTGTAAAACAAACCAATCACCTCCTTTCCAGTTTGTCAGTGTATGTGCCTTGACTATTTTCTCCTTCACAAGAGAACAAAACACAGAAGAGAAAACTGCATTGAGGTGGATTTGTCCTGACTGGATATAGGCTCATTTCTGTTCATATTCTCAGCCAGGAACCAAAAATACCAATGCTACATTAGGGCACTTGGGCTCTGGGAGATGAGTTTCCTGAAGTGAATATTTAAAACTGACTAAATGATCTATAGTGAACATGAAATTAGTGAAAATTATAAACATTTTAAAGTTCAACCCTTCTAAAGTCTTCAGAATCATATGTGTATATACTGTAATACATAAAATGTATATATGCATGTAAATGAGTCTTTTATGAGTATTAAACCATATGGTAGACCAGAGCAGTTTTCAGATACTCTAAACCTGGATGAAAACAGTTGTCTCTCCTTATATCCTGCAGGACTCCTACAGATATCAAAATAAGGGGATGCTCAAATCCCTCATATATAATAGCATCATATTTGCAATAATCTCCAGATATTTTAAATCATCTCTAAATGACTTAAAGTTAATAAAATATAAATGCTATTTATATAGTTGTGACACTATATTATTTAGAGAATAATGACAAGAAAAAAATCTGTATGTGTCTATCAGAGATAGTTTTTTTTCCAATATATTCAATCCATAGTTGATTGAATCTTCAAATGCAGAATCCCTGGATATGAAGGGCCAACTGTAATATGTTTATGAGATGCTTATAATGAATATATATCATTTCGTGTAGAATGACTTCTTGAATTCATTCTAGGCTGATCTTAAACTGTAATTGTATTTCTTGAATACCTATTTGCCACAGGTCAAAATAAAACATCCACAGAAAATATAAATTGCTGTGGATTTTTATTCACACTGAACACTCACCATCAATAAGAATTTATAACATTTAGGACATATATTCAGTAAGGAATAGACTAAACTGGGAGCAATGGTGCATACCTGCAATCCCAGTAATTCTGGAGGCTGAGGCAGGAGGATCACAAGTTCGAAGCCAGCCTCAGCAACTAGGCAAGATCCTAAGCAACTTAGCAAGACTGTTTCAAAATAAAAAGAATTGTGGAAGTGGCTGAGTGGTTAAGCGCCCCTGGGTTCAATCCCCAGTGCAAAAAAAAAAAAAGTCAACATTCATAAGACTGATTTTTTAAAATAAAAATAGCATTACAGAATGTTAAATGTTATTATAAGATTTTCGTGTTATCAGGGGCAATATAAGGAACGTAAATTTTTATCATCTTGCAAAAACAAAATGAAGCGTGGTTTTACACAACTGGAAGCCAAGCATTGCCCACAGGATCTGGCAAATCATTTCAGATTTGGAGACTGTAGAAAGATGTTTGGAGACTGTAGATGGTGTTTGAAGACTGTAGAAAGAGGGGTAACTCTCCTGGTGGATCATGCACAACATTCTCAGGACACCTTTCAACTCAGTCACATGCATTCCTCTCTCCCTCGGCCATGTCTCTCTCCTTTATTCTCTTTCCCTTTCCTCCCTGCCACCTTCCCCACTACCCACCACTACAGAACCAGATTATGGTCTCTAGATTCTGCTATTTTCTACGGCCTCACTGGTCACATGTACACAGATGGAGCACACTCACCGGCTCCTCCTCATTACATACACAGCTTTAGTTTCTGAAATTTACTTTGATCTACTTCAATAAGAGGTATTATAATGAGTCTAATTCTCCCTCTAGTGGTGGTGAGAGGGTTTTCCTAAAATTGCATAAGCTTCTTCCTAGTGTCCACGGCAAGTGGAAGTGGGGGAACTGAGAAAGGGAAACTAGAAATGTTTTGTCTCACCCTTTCAGGAGGGACAGTCAGGCCTCCAACTCTGAAGCTGAGTGGCATAATGCATAGTCCGGGCAGGGGGAGGGGCTTTGACCCCTCAGCTGCAAGCACTGTGCTTCTCCTGATCCTGAAAATGAAGCCTTATACTGCTCAAACCAGACCTCCCAGCCCCACAGGAAAATTCCTGCTATGATAAAAAACAAATCTCACCTCAGTGGACCTACAAGGTGGATAAAACAGAACTTTTCTGTCTTTCTGAATTCTGAGTGAGTTACATATTATCTTTATGAACATTTTGTTACTTGGATTGTGGGATCTTCAAAAAAAATCACTGAAATTCACTTTAAAAATAAATCAGTGATGTACTGTTGTTGTCACACAACTGGTCAGTGCTCAGATGTTATTCTCATGCCATATACCTTCTCTTCATCCAGAAAGATAGAGGCAAAGTATGAAGTATTTTTAGACATTGAAAAGAGCTACTTAACCTCAGAAAGTAGGTAAGCATCCTTAAGGCATCCTCAATGTCCAGGTGTGATTCAGTGTGTTTTACTGTATAATAAATTTACCAACGAGGGGCTGGATGGGGAGCCCCCATAAACTCAGAGAGTTACTGATACACCAAGCACAGGGGTCAGAATCTTTTATCACAGAACTTCAACTCTAGGAAAGCATGCCAGAATGTAAATGAGAACACTTTCAGAATTAATAGCTATTTTGAAAGATGACACAGGGCATCAGATTATTTTACATGTCTGTAAAACCCAAAGAACAAAAGCCCTTTTCATAGGAGAGATGCATGCAATAAAATTTAGACTTTTTTTTCCCCAAATGATGTGCAATCATGACTAGCAGGCTGGGAATTCAGATAAAGAACATATGAAAATCAGCAGTACATTTGCCTTGGCCAAATGAAAGGATTCAGAATCCTAAGAGATTTTATGTGTGTTTGGGAATCCCCAGAAACCTGGCTGCTAACAATCAGATATTATGATATCTTCCTACTGAGCACAATGGATAATGAAGAAAATAGGCAATTCTAGAATGTTCATCTATAGATCTAATAGTGGATTACCTAATGCTAAACTACAGGTCACTTCTTTGAATTGGTGACAATAGAAAGGTCATGTAGATGTGACTCTTGGCATTTAAGTTGTGCCCAATGCTATCTACCTCCAAACAGACTTATCTCCAGGCACAGAAGACTGCAAACACCACATTTCCATGTGTCTTACCAGTCCCCTACTTATAAAGGAAGAAACTTAGTCTGAAAGGTTCAAGGGGTGCTCTGCCTCATTGAGAGTGCTGTCTATGAGTCATCAGTGGAGTTTGCCTTTTACACACAGAACTCAGCAAAGACCAGTGGTTTGAAGGAGAGGGCCAGGGTTTTCTTCCCGCATTTTTATCAGAGAGAGAAAGAAAAGAGTACCCTTCAGATTTTGTAGAATTTATTAATGTGTGTTCCTAGTTCCTTGTTATTTCATAAATATGAATGCAAATGCAAGACCTCCTAAGCTGCAGAACTTGTGACCCACCAGAAAGCTCTGCAATTCTCTGAAATGGACAAATGTCACAATTAGAGTGTTTGGGGAATAGAGGTGTGCTGTGATTCCTAGGGTTAGTGTAGGGGAAGAATCAGGGAGCTGCACTGATTTTCAAAGCGCAAGATAGTCTGCAAGATCTAGCCAGAGATTCAGGCTTGGAGACAGATTAAACCATACCCAGAATTTCTAGTGTGTTTACAGCAACAGGGCTTAACCCTTTGGATCCTGCTACCTATCTACCCTCCTGAGCCCTTTCCATCTCTTCCTGGAGGGTTTCTAAACTCTCATTAGCTGACTGATGTTCTGGGAGGAAGACTAAGGGTATTTAAGCGGAGATCATTTTTTATATTACTAGTTAGAAGATTTAATAGCAATGTCAATATGCTTGCTTTATTGGGATAGGTGTATGCTTTTTTTATGTGTGAGAAGCGGCTGATCTAGAAGGGCAGTGTGTATGTTTTGAGTGTCTGCAGGATCTGGCAGGGGTGTACTTTTAGAGAAGCAGAGCTCTAAGATGCCCACCTGGCCCCAATCCCTCCACTTCCCTCCAAACCCCTTAGCTGGTGTGGTCTAAACCGGGCAGCCAGGAAACCACCATTCCTGGAGTCCTGGAAATTTTCAGAATGACGGAATTGATTGAGAATGTCGGTCAATGCCTGTATAAGTCCCTGGAACATTTGGGATGGAGACAAGAGGTAGACAAGGAGATAGATGCGGTCAATGCCATATAATCTTGTTTATCAAACCCCCTTAAAACCACCAGATCCTAAAAAAGGAAAAAAGAGTCAATTTATTTCTGAGTCTCCATATTTCCGGCTGAAAGGGGCTGCAGCCACCCAGCCTGGAGAGGCAGAAGGCTTTTCTGGGGATAGATGGGACAGGTGAGGTGCGGGCTGACTTCCCTGTCTCCGTGCCGCAACCTAGCCGACGGCCCGGCGCAGCACGGACTCCGAGCCGGCAGACAGCGCCCCCCGCCGCCCTCTCGCCAGGCTCCGGGCCTCCGGAGGACGCTGGGGACCCCGCGCAACTTACCGTGCATGCAAGCCCGAGAACAAGCAGAGGAGGAGGATCATCTTCGGGGCCATGGTGTCCTGGAGCTCGGGGTGTAGGGTCCCAGGCCTCGGGCTAAGGCTGCTTACTCCGGAGCGTGGACTTCGTCTCCACAAGCTCTTCCCTCGCTCGTCGCCTCCGCTGCTGCTGGCTGCTGCGCGACAAGGGCTCCGGTCCACTACAGCGGGACAGGTGTCTGCTCCCTCTGCTAGCCGCGCCCCCGACGGCCGGCGGGTGTGCGCGCGGCTCCGCGGGGCGCACACTGAATGCCAGGCTACCGCGGCGCGCCAACCCCGCCCGCGCTCTGGCGCCGGGTCTGCGCAGCCGGGTGGCGGGGGAACCTGGCCTCGCAGTCTCTAGTCCCCACGCGGCGCCGCCCACCCCACCGGGAGCCAAGAACCAGAGCCAGGCGCTGGTGCCTGGCCGCAGGCTCTCCGCGGTGTGCGGCCGCCGCGCGCTCGGAGGTGGGGGCAGCGAAGCGCTTCCTTTGGTAGCGCCTCTGAGGCGGTCCCGGCGGGGAGGAGTTTCCCAAATTACACGCTTGACAAGGCGCAGGGAAGACAGCCAGGTTTGAATGGACTCAGAGTTTGAGGCCACAAAGGGGGCGGGGCTCCGTGGGGGAGGGGAGGTTGGGCATCCTGCGGGGAGCCTGAGGAAAGGTCCCGGGGATGGGGATTGACACTTGTGGAGAAAGCTCCCGAGTTGGCGTTCCTCCTGTCATTTCAACACGAGGTAGTTTCTCACCAGCGCTCCCTGACCTCCTGTTTCCCGCCTCTGCCCTTAGTCTTCGTTTAGAGACGCCATTGTAAAACGGTTAAGATGGCTAGCCGAAACCGTCCTTCCATCCCACACGTGGTGCTAAGTCGCTGAACTTCTGTGCCTTCCTAAGATTCCGTGGCTTATTGGGAGCAAAGCACGCCCGCCCGATGTGTCCCTTGCTCATGGAAAAGAAACGAAAGCATAACAATTAACAGTAAAGGTGAAAAATACTGGTAAAGGCAGGGAAGAAGGATCCTAAGTCAAAAAGGAAAAGATGTTCTCTTGGTTGAACTATGAAGTGCGCTTCATTCGATGAGTTTTCATCAAGATTGAAAGTTGCATTTTAGTTTTCATTGGTAACAATCACTCAGAAAACCAGTCCTTTATTATGTAAATATCACAATATCAACACAGTAAACCCACTAGGAATTTTGCTTTTTTATACCCCCCCCCAAAAAAAACACAAATAGTTCTTAGAAAATATTTTATATTTTCAACTACCACGCATAGAATCATGGAAGGGTGTGATAACTGTTTCTTCAATGGTTTTGTTCATAAAATATATAGAATAGTAAGTTGAGTTTCTCTGATGCTCTCCTCCTTGTTTCTGGATTCATCAACATGAACAGGAGCATGAAGTGGAGTGAAGTTATTGGTGATGACTATATTTTTGTTTATTTGTTTTTAATAATAGTACTGTCACCTTGGCATTGTGATCTTCCTGTCTCTGTAAGGTCCTTTCCATGCCCAGCCTCTTCCCTTCCAAGGGCTCTTTCTGACATCTTCTTCTGCTTGCCTGTCACTCCTACGTCAGTGCACATGCCCACCTCCGATCCCATCTTCTATTGAGACTCCTGACATTCTTATATTTTTCTAGGGCCTAAACCTTACCACTTCTTGAAGCTTCAGGTGATTATAAACCTTAGCATAGTGTACCCTACTCTTTAATTTCTGTACCACACAACTGAGCCCTCTAAAAATCAGTTGAACACAATGAAACCCATTATTCTATATAACAAAAATGCACTAATAGATCAGTTAAATGATGACTTGTTCCTTAATTGCTTCCAGAAATACAGTCATCTCTCAATGTCCTCAGAGGATTGGTTCCAGAACCTCTAGGGATAACACTATGTGAGGATGCCAAAGTCCCTTATAAATAAAATGGATTAATATGTACAGTTAGCCTCCTCCCATTACTTATAATACCTAATACAATATAAATGCTATGTAAAGTAGTTACAATGTATTGTTCATAGACTAGTAAAAAAATCTATAGCTGTTTAGTAGAGATATTTTTTAAGAAAATATTTTCTATCTGAAGTTGGTTGAATCTAAGATATGGAGGACTGCCTGTATGTCAAGTCTGCACATATTTTAAGTGTGCTATGATAAAAGGCTGCAAGTATAAAGAAACATTTTTATGTTTTCATTTTTAACATATTAATAGGAACATAGGTAAAAAAAATAATCATTAGACACTGATAATTTAAAAGAGGCCAAAAGCCTATACAATTAACTCATTTTAACCCTCATAATATTGTTCCCATTTCACAGGTGGAGAAAAGGCACAAATAAGTTGAGTCACTTCCCCAAGATCACACAGCTTGTAGACAGCTAATGGAAAGGGGGCAGAGACCTGAAACCAGTCATTGGTGAGGAAAAATTAAAATCCAGGCAGTTCCAAGCATTCAGATGTTGAGTTCAATAAAACCAATATGTTAGTCTTAATAAATATGCCATACTGCCTCTCTGAATGGGAGCTCAATAGACATTGATTAGTTCTTTGAGCAAAGTTTTAAACTCTTTTCTGTGTTCTTTATTTTGGGGGCATAAATACAAATGCTTACAAGTGGTTTATAATAGAAAGAGATTGGTTCTTGAATGGTTTGTAAAATATCAGTATAATGAGAAGTGTACAGACACTTTTTGTTTATTTTTCGTAACCCAGTCTATGGAAAAGAAAAAGTAATGTTCCTTTTACATCCCTTTGTTGTTATTCTTTTCCTTTCTTGCATATGCTAAATGTTATTATATTATGAATGAGTTCAACACTGATTACTTCTGGGCATTGAAATGCTTTGCTCCATTTATTGGACGTAGTGGGTCATCTTGGTACACCTAATATTTTTACCTTGGAAAGCCCTCCTTGCCTGATGGTGTCTGAAAAAAAGGTTTGTGTGTGTGTTTCGTTTTCATTTGTTTTAAAACTGAATGAGTTGAGAAGGAGAGAAAATTCAAGGCGAGTTTTCTGTACATAAGTGTGAAGGCAAAATACAAGGTCAAGAATTTTCAAAGGACAAGCTACCAAACTGATTTTCCTCCCTTGCCCAAGTTGACCGGCGGGGATGCTTTTCAGAATAAGAGCATTACGCACCCTCCATCCTGTCCTAGCCTCACCACCTGTAGCAGAAGTTGACAGTTCCACTCCGGGCGCGGGCTTTACATTGCCCTCTCCTAGCTCTAAGGAAAAGAAAGGGAGATTTAAAAAAAAAGAAAGTAAATAAAAAGATCGGTACTTAATCATAAGGGGTAAGGGTTGAAGATCGATCAACAAAAACGAAGCACTTATATCTCTATAAATATCGAATGCACCCAAGCCATGAGCACTGTTTGCCATTCTCAGGTCCTCCACTCAGGTTTCTGGGGAAGACCAGGGCTGGCCCGCGCTGCATGTGGGTTGAGCTGCAACGGAGCTGGAGGCGGGAAGCAACCTAAGGGGGGCGGGAAGACTGGCCGCCTTGACTACGGGATCCTCTTGCGGCTTCTGCGAGAAATACCTCTCAGGATTCCTTTCATAGCTTCCCTTCACCTCCTACAGGCGCTAAGGAGCAAAGCCAGCCCTAGAGCTCAATGCACTTGGACCAATGTGTCCCTGATATTTTCTTAGTGGCTTCTGGGTTCTCTGTTCTGAATAAAACCTCTGCCATTCCAAAAATTATTGAATTAGGATGTTTTATGCTTTAATCCTTAAAAGAAAAAGCACCTTTCCCTCCTCAACTTTAAAGAAACTTATTATCGAGGAATAAGACTTATAAAAGAAAATGCACTAATCTTTAAAGTATGCCTTAGTCATTATGTAAAAATTGTGAATGTGTAACTGATGTGATTCTGCAATTTGTATTTGGGGTAAAAATGGGAGTTCATAACTCACTTGAATCAAATGTATGAAAGATGATATGTCATGAGTTTTGTAATGTTTTGAACAACCAATAAAAAAAATCTGCTAAAAAATAAAAAATAAAAATAAAGTATGCCTTAGTGACTTTTTAAAACAAGTATATATTATAGGTGCACAAGTATTGTTTATATATCATCTATATTACCGTATAATACATTTTGTCCCTGCCTCTTCCCAATGTCTGGACTGTCTTGCAAGTCAATACTGACACTGACACTAGGCAACACCTATTTGTCTTCTGTCACAATAGACTGATTTTGCTCACTTTTTCACCTCATAAAAATACAAGCTTGTAGTTTCTTCTATTTAAAGGCTTTCTCTCAGCAGATACAATATGTGTGAGGTGTTCCCATATTACTGTATGTAGCAATCATGTATTTTTTCTTATTGCTGCACATAGTATTTGATTGTGTGAATATACCAATCAGTATTTATTTGTTCTCATGCCAATGGGCATTTGGATTGTTTGAAACTTTGAGATATCATGAATAATGTATCATGATGTAAACATGCATGTAAAGGTATTTCGGTGAATATATGTACTCAGTACTCTTGGCTAGCTGACTAAAATAGAATTTCTATGTTGCAACGCAGGCATATGTTTACTGATAATAAATATTCCTAAAGACATTTTCAAAGCAGCTGTATCCCTGTATCACCCATAAGCAGCCTTGATAAAATGAGGCCTTGCCATTATTTTTAATTGTAGCCATTCTGATATTTCCTTCTAGCTTTAACTTCATGAAACTCCTTTCAAATTCTTATTAGCCATTGGAGTATCTTCTTATATGAAATGTCACTTAAGTCTTTGCCTAGTCTTCCACTGAGACTCACTTCAGCCCCAAGTGCCTCTTTTGCCTCTGTCCATTTCTAAATTAGATTGTTTGACTTCTGTTTAATTGTAGGAGTTCTTAGTGCATTTTGATGATGAACCCTTTAATGTGTGTGTGTGATGAATATCCTTTTTCAGTGTATTGCTTGCCTTGTGTGCTGGTCAGCTTTCTAGTACTGTAACAAATACTTTCAAAAAGTTTTGTTTATCTGGACTCATAGCTTTGGAGCTTCCAGTCCATGATATATTGGCCCTTTTGCTTTGAGTATGTGC